TTCAGTCTAGGCGTGAAAACTATGTTATGATAACTTAAAATACGACTCTTCAACAGGAGAGTTCCAAAGTTCAAACAATAATAGTAAGACGCATACGTATAAGATAGCTATATACTAGAAGAAAAGCATTGCGGGTAAAATTAAAACGTACAACGGTTGAATACCTCCAATTCTTTATGAATGTAATATGCAAAAATCAAAAATCAAAAATTAACCAAGGTAGGGGCACAGAATTTGAGCACACATACAGTCAATACTACTGTGCGGATCGTTACACGAGAGCGTCGCCGATTTAATCAAAAACTTATAATAAAAAATAAATAAAAACCTTTAAGAATGACACAAAAAGCGGTCAGAAGGTCATCTCTCGGTTGACTTAAGACCCGGGGATTTCTACCCACTAACTAAATGATCCCACAAAGTGAGATCAACGCTTGTCATCGAGCTTAAAAAACAAACAAATCCGATTCTTCCCCAAACACAATAAACACTCCGTTAAAAGAAAACTATGGCTTCTAAGGCAAAGGAAACACCGGAGAAAAACTCCTCCAAACTAAATCACGCACACCGGGAGACTCAACATACACAAAAAAAAAGTCTCCTCCCTATCCGATCGCTGACCTAAGGCCACCACTTGGTTGATCAATTAAGCAACCAGGGATTTCCGCCTTTTTGGTCTGAACTCATCAACTAAAGTTGATGAGAAAACGATATCGGAAATCGAAGGGAACACTTACTCTTTTTACTGTGCAGCAATCTGTAATAATGTCAACATAGCTAAACGATTCCCAGCGACAATCAGACGCACGAGTGGATTCCACAGTGCCCCCTTGTACTGCTGCTAACGTCGTCCCCTCGGAGGCGAGCCAATCTAACTACTCTCACGAGCTCTCTTTTCCGAGCTCCTCTCCAGCGAAACCCTACTCTCGGACCCCGTCAAGCACCGCCGTCCCGGTGCGCGTGCCTTACAAATTCCATTCTCGCGCAGTCCCATTCTAATTTTACCCCCCAACGCTCTAGTGCACACACACACACAAGGTACCCCTATATGTGTACTCTCAATACCAGGAGTAGTTTTTAATGATCGCAAGTATGCTTTCCCGTGGCTGTTAGTTTGTGTTCAAGAATCTCTATGGGAACTCTCATTCAGGCTGGTATTTTGTATAGACGATTAAGACCAAAGGGTACTCCTGTGGGTTTAAAATGTTGAGAAGTTGGAAGAGATTCCGAGTTTTTTTCATTTATGCTAATATTATTCATAATTTCGTAAAAATTATTTTTATTACTTGTATATTCTGTCGTCGTATCAAGCAACTTAAGTCCACGTTCTTCGTCGCTTATTGTTACAATTATTCCTATAAATGAAATGGGACTTCTAGGATTTCTTTTTAGTATCAAGGCTCTTGTGTCATGACAAAGCCTCGTCCGTTCTTCGGCTAGAAATAAATTTCCTAATATTCCTGTCCCACTGAGAGGTGTTTCTTGTGCTAAGACGTGAAAAACGTGATTTTTATCTAGTATGTTTAACGTTACTGTTCCTAGTGTAATGATATTTTGAGAAGTTAATCCAATAAGAGCAATTTTTGTATCAGTATTTATAATAATATTCGCTAGTAATGAAGATATTTTAATAGCATTGACGTCCGCTCCTGTATCTATTATAAAAGTGTCTTTACTTTTATTTAATTGTGAAATTTTAAGTCTTACTGTCGGTGCATTGACAAAGTCTCTTGCGACGGATACTCGGGCGATTGCACAAATTGATTCGTCAGTAGACGCTGATTCAAGTCTTAGCTCGCCACTGCGTCTGGGCGACGAGCATCGTTCCCGTTAAAAGAATGGCCTGGTTTAGGAGAACTTGGTCTGAAATTATGCCGATTATTGAAAAAGTTCGACCTTGAGCGAAAGCTTGTGTTGTTCCGCGATTTACGTGGGATCTGAACGTTTTTGCAAGTATAGGGGTAATTTCCCATTGGAGAAGTAGACGAGTTACCAAATATATACTGCAGTACGGTTGTATGAAAGGGGCAATTCAAATAGGCTAATAATTTGTTTGGGTGTTGCGTTAGTTGTATAGGGCCAAAATTTTCATGATTTTCTCACGAATCGCTCAAATGCTGGTAAGATTGCGTTTCATTCGACTTTTGCCACAATTTTACTTATTGCTCATTTGAGTCGTTATTTCGATATTAAAGAGCTGGTTGTCATACTATTCTTCAGTCTGATTTAAACATAGTCGGGCAAAATTTTGTGTCATTAAAGTTGTAATAATAAGACATATTATCGCGTATGTACATGTTAGGATCGTTATAGTCAACTTGTTGTATATTGTTTTGATTAGGCTGAAAATATGAAAAATGTCCTTGTCTGTTTTGTTGGTGTACTGATAAATTTTGTCTTTATGTAGGGTGTAACTGCTGATCAAGGTACATATCTGAATTCTGATGGTCCGTAGTAGCGTGAGTATTGGGGTATAATATTTTTTCAACTTCTTCGGCTTCTAAAGCTACTTGTAAGGCACTGGCAAACGTTTTTGGTACGTTTGACATCATGTTGGCCTTAAATCCATCGGGTCGGCCTCTCATGAATGCTTCATGGCTAACCATTTCTAGATATAACTTGAAATCAGGCTATTGGTTGTCAGGAATGTTGTTGAAAACGGCCTCTATTTTAGCTACTCCAGCGCCTTGATTAATGAGTTAGGACATTCTCTCGTGAAAATCGCGAACAGTTTCTCCCTGTTTCATTTGAGAATTATTAATGTCGGTGATGTATTAAGCGTAAGTTTTATAAAAAGCAGAGTGTGCCTTCAAATGGTTTATAAGATCGTCTTATGTATTTATTGTTAATCGGTCTAGACAACTTCTTGCTCTACCTTTTAGCCTGGAAATGACTGTTCTTAAAAACATAGGCTCTTCCGCATATGTAATAAGAGACCTACCATTTTTAACATCTTGCGAGAAATCTCTGACAGGTGTATTTTGACCGCTACATATTGGTATGTGTAAGGTAGCTTGACTTGTTCGAAAAGCTAAATTAGTTAGGGCTACGTTACGTGATTATTCAAGAAATTTAAGTGATTTTTCCGTTTTTTTTCCCTATGGTATTGTTCGACTAACTGTACTCTTGTAACCACATCTGCTACCTTGCCTATATCCTCAAGTGTATGATCCATTATATAAAAAAAATTTTTGAAAATAGATTTAGAAAGGCAATGAAGGAAATTAAAAAAACAAATAAAAATAAAAATTTGATTATGTTATAGCATACTCCAAGTAAAACAAAAGACTTAGTTCCCCACGAGGGATGCTAATTTGGTACGTCCAAACTTCTATAAGTGAATGGCGGAACTCGTAGATTCGTTCTACAAACAAATAAATTTAATTTTTGTTCATCAAGAACCAGCCATTGGCCCAAAGATCTTACTTGCTTTTACTTGCAGTATCCTTTTCTCTGAAATCGTTGACTCTACGTTGTGGTGTTAGGTTTCACCGAACGATATGTATGAAGTGGTGTACACTGAGCTAGCGTTGACTTATTGTTAGAGTTTATGTCTTATGTCATACAGTAGTAGCCTATATTATTTGTGTTTTTTTATCTCATGTCCTTGAAAAAATCGTTGTCTATCTAAATTTTCCTTGATATTCAATTTATTCGTCAAAGTTAGAGTTATGCTTATAGAATTTTGAATTTTAAAATATTTCATATAATTCAATTATTGAAAATTTCAATTAAGAAAATAAATTGTGATCAGCAACTAAGATATATCTTACCTGATGATTTAATAAATTTAGAAAATCCAAAAATAGTTCATCTTACTAGTAGTATTAATTATAAAGTTTCAGATTCCCATTGATAATGTTTATACAGTTTATAACTTTCTTGACTTAGCTTACTTCTACGATCGTTGGTTAGCCGCTGCTTGCGCGTACGCAGTCGCAAGATATTACAATGTTGACTGCATCGATGATCCTAATTCTGCGTGAGATTACTCGTGGCGATGACGATAATTAAGCTGCTGCTTTTAACGTCGGAACCCAAATCTATGGTCCTTTCTTTCTTGTTTCTCCTTGATTCACTTTTTAGGCGAGTTTACAGTGGCCTAGTTTGCTCGAGCTTTTCTTGCACAGCTTAGTCACCAAACCAAGTCTTACATTTGCTTAAAATGCACGGTTTTAACACGTAGCTTAATCACCGAACTAAGTCTTACGTCTGCTTAAAAGACGCAACAGAACTCACTCTCCTATCTTCATAGTTACTTTGGAGGACTTAATGAAAGAGGAAAGGCGAATATTGTTATTTGCGAAGAGTTTTTATACTCTTGCGTTTAAGAAGGACGCGTCAAGTTGGGGATCCGAATGACTAATCAGAGCTTAATTTATTACCCTCGACTGACACGAGCACAGTCGTGGTGCAGTAATTTCACAGTAATTGATGATTAAAACTGCTGATCTCTCGGATTTTACATTAAGTACAAGTTGCTGCCGAAATTGTGTATGATATTTCTTGTGTACATCCGCAGTACAAAAAGTGTTGAAGTTGTTAATTAATCACATTATTTGGTGTACTTATACGAATCGATTGCGTCAGATGAGCGTCTTATAAGATTGTTTGAGGTTGCCTGCATAGTTCGAGTTTTGCGAAGGTAGCTTGTTTCAAATGAAGTCAGTTATATGTCACGCAATTGCAGAATCAGGTATACCGCTTGATGGTTTGAGATCGCTGAGCTTTTGCTTTTTATAATTTAAAAATGAAACTGTGTTTTGAAGTAGTAAATGTTAAGTATATGACATGGGATGTCACACTAGCCCAATATTAGAAAAATTGAAAATGTTCTCCATTATAAATTGATCAAAGAAATGTTACTGTCTTATTTGATTCTTTAAGATCCTAATTTGATTTAATATTCTATCCTAAAAAGAGAAATATATGTCAGTTATTGTAAAATTTAAATTACTGGACATTTTATTTCGAAACAATTAATGTATGATATTTTTTAGGATCACATAAGCTACGGTATTTATGAAGAGCTTATAAATATACATGCCCAAGAAATCGATGACATTGTCAAGCTTGTTGTTTTGCTGCCCGCAGTAGTTTATCAGGTATATTAGTTTTTTTATTTTAGCATAACAAACTTTTATAACTTGTTGACGCTTAAAACCTAAAATTTATACAACTACATACGTTATGTTGTTACTTATTTAGTTAAAGATATTTTCTTTCCACAGTATTTTTTAGGATGGAAAAAAACAGAATTAATTAGTAAATCTCCAATAATTATTCTGTTCTGTACCATCGATTATAACTTGGTTGGTACTGACATTTATATATGTATAACTTTTTACATTTTTTGTTCTAAATAATGCTTTTTTTAAATTTTAAAAACATTAAATATTTTGAAAGTAATTATTTCATCAGGCTCTTTTAATACTTATCATTTTTTTATAAAGAAAATGTTTGTTAAAATGATATCCTTGCTTAAAAATGATCTAATGCCCTTATTGAAATTGATTTTTCCATACCTCCTGTAAAATTACGACTGCTACCTATATCGTCTTGGGACTAAAGTGCTACATTGTCCCTAAAGTAAAGGGTCGCGATCATAATTTTTATAATTTTTTTCCAACTGTTTACAAAAAAAAATGAATTTTAACTTTATGCATACAAGCAAAAGTGTTTTTTTAGTGAAGTTTTTTCTAATAATTATTTTATTAATAATTCAAATATTAGAATAGGAATTTTTTTTTTTACTAGAATAGTAGACAAAATTTCTACGTATGTAACATATTATTTTTTGTTAGTACTAGTTATTAAGATGCAATTTAAAATTTGCATAAGCTCCAGAAATGTGGTGGAATTTACTAGAAAATGTTTTTTAGTTAGATGAAAAAAAAAAACATAAAACTATTTTTCATCCTACAATGTGGTAAGAATTTATCTTTATTAAGTTTTGAAAAAAATTTTTTCAACGGTACAACACTCTCAGAATTTAAAAAAAACTCTGTACATTAGACATTGTTTGTAACTAGTTTCATTTTCCAGGTTAAAGTTAAAAATAAAATAATCTTAACTAGATTATTTAATCTAAAAATGCACCAAAATTTTTACTAAGTCATTAACTTTTAATCTTATGTTTTTGGGAGCCTTATACTTACAATCAAAATACACGACAAATAAGTTTCCCAGAGAAGCAAGTCCAGTAAGTAATGACTCGGTCTTGAACTTGTAAACGTGTATTACTAAGCATTTGAGATATAAAAATCATAGCCTTAGTCACTGTCCTACCGAGACTATATTTTAATATTTTCTTCGTTTTTTAAAGCTTTCATTTTTACGTACCTCATACTGTTTATGCTCGTATAATTTATCAATGAACTGCCACGCATGTGTCGAGACTCAATGATCATTATTAAATACGAGATGAGAGATCTACGTCATGGGACATTTAAAAAAAAGGCTATCTTAATACATACACAAAAGTTTATGAATATTTTAAAGTTTCGCTTTTATATATCGTGGTGTATGAAAATATACTTTTGTGATTGGTTAAAAACTTGAATAAATCTTTATCGTTGTTTCCGTAGAATATAAAGTGTACAATATTAATTCTATGTTTTTGTTCAAATAACTTACAGATAAAACATTTTTACCATTGAGCACGACTTATGGGTATGAAATAGTGTTTTTCAACTGATGAGACCCATAATTATGAGGATTTGTTATCCAATATAAAAGGAAAGTGTGCAACTGCTTTGAACTTCTCCTGAACTACTCTAGGAAAAGGAGTAACATGACTTATCATTATGATTTCATTTACAGTAACAACAGTAATTATTATAATAATGACAATAACAACAAGAATTATAATCATTATAATAAGAACAGTGATGCTGAGAACAACGAACCATGAAACTACTTTTGGGATCGTTTTTGAGAGTAAGCGAAAAGCAATTATCTTCTAGCAGTGTTGAGCATATCTTGAATAATACTTACAAAAAAATTTCGACATTATATTAAAGTATAAAATAGTATGGTTGATCACTTTAAACTAAGCATGCGTATTATCACACTTATCCTCATAAGTTTATTTACTATGATGTCTGTATAAGTCGAAACAACGAGCAATAACCAGTACATATCATATTAAAATCCTGAGCTCATATCGACGAAAACTATGCTTTTTTTCTTTTAGCTTTTTTTTTAGCTTTGGTGCTACTGGCACCTCGAATGGCACCGCACTAATATCGTTGAATTTCCTCTTTAAGCTTTTAATAACGATTTACTTTTACATGTGTTTCTAAAATTGCTTTGTAAAAATCGAAGTATTTGTAAACGGTACCACTTAAAGTATTCAATTTCATCAACTACATACTTTAAGTTCTCAGTTTATAACACTAAGATTTACAACGTTGAACTAGCAGCATTGTTTGTAATTCCATGGTAATGCAAATCGTGATGCACAAAGTACGATTCTTACATGCAGGTTGTCAAGTAACGGAGCCAATAGTACTAGAGCCCCCACAAGTTCAAGAAAAAAAAGCATCATCTTCGTTCAAATTCCTATGAATCAAAAAGGATTAATATCGGAAAAACAGTAAAATCCGAAAGTCATGTCTAATTACGAGTGTGTTTCTTAATATGTAATAATAGAAAACTCGCAAACGATGTTAAAAATAAGGAAATCGTTACAATAAACGAATGTATCTTGTATCGATTGTGATCTTATCGTGTGTAAATAAAACTCGTGTAATTCGAAATATTCGTCTCAGCTCTCCATGATAAAGAACCTTATAGATCAAACAATTTACTTCTAATGAAAATTAATAATGCGATTTCTGTCTTTGTGTCGCTTTGTGATCTGATTAATCTCACTAAGTACCAACCCATGGACTAAAACCCAAATTGATATGGCCCTAACCGTGAAATAACAAAATTCTTGTTTATTATGAATAAAATCAATGTCATTTATTCATTTATTCGCAAATGAAACGCAGTAGGAACTCTAACAACCTTTAAACGAATAATATTGGCATTTTTATGCCACTTGCTTACTTCTTGTAAATTGTCATGGTCACTAATTAGGCAGACGTAGATTGTAACAAGAAAAAAAATTAAATGACCGTTGCCCTTAAGTCTAAGTCATAACATGGTGAGTACGGATTCATAGTAAATATGTATGATGAGGGTATTAACAAATATACTTTACATATTAATATGGTTTATATAAGTTTCCTGTAAGCTGGACAATTTATATAAATCTTTGTTGTATGATATAATGTATGTACGATTTTACAATTCTTACAACTGATACGACAATGTTCAAAATTCTATAAATAATGTTATCTTTATCAAGCAAATCGACAATTTCTAACTTATTTTAATGGAATATGAAAGCTTACTTTCGATGAAAAAAAGTTGTAAAAGTAAAAAAAAGTAGCAGCACAAGCAGCTAAAGTGAAAGTACAAAAAGAAAAACTAAGAGTATTCTAGAAAATTTTTACGTTAGTGTATTATAACAATACAGCAGAATTATTTGCGTAATGAATTTTTGGTGTATGGTTATATCTTGCTTCCCTCATGGATTTCTTAAATTTAATCTTTTAGTATGGATCTAAGTGTTGTGACGAGTTGTTCTTCCGCTCTGTGGCGCCGGAGGTATGTAATGCCGGGCCGTCCCGATCACCTTGCTTGGGGAAAATTACATTTACCTCGTCCTCACCTTGTACTGCCACACTTCAATGTCCATGTACATAAAATCCACGTACAAAACGGGGGTCCCGTTGCAGGTGGCTGGATAGGTACTATCCGCTCCGAGTGAAGAAAACACTTGCAAAAAATAGATCCCAACATTCAAAAAATTCTTCCTAACGTTCTTATTTATTGTCACTTATTACACAATACCGAGTACACTATAGGTTACTAGGCGCCATCCAACGTTACGTTGCACTCGATTTTTGACACACACGCGCGCGCACACATATCCCGCACATTCTCACAATAACTCCTAACCCACAGCTACTCTCTCTTTCTAGAAATCTACTCAAAATACACGGCTCTTTAACTCTCTATCATGAAAACCCGTTACCAATGCACACACTCTCTCTCTCTCTCTCTCTAGTTAGTTAGGAAATAGAGTTAAGGTTAGTAACTGATCAAGGCTCTTATTTTTTGCTCTGCTTTTTTGGCTTTTTACTGCTGTCCATTGCCCTAGGGCGTGTTTGTTTCAGGCCTGTTGCAAGCTCCCTTACTGCAACTTGCTGCATGAGTGTTATCTCCTGCAGAGGTTGCAGATTTTTAACAATCTCGACTGTTTATCCTAGGCTGCCCGAGCGCGCTGATGTGTGTGTTGTCAATGCTTTAACGACTTGCACTTTGTTTTCTGGCTCAACTTCGATGGACCTGTGCTCTTCTTGAATCACAAGTGAGATCTCAGTGGGCCCCGTGGACGTCGTTGTTGGAGTTTTTCGCTGTGCTATCCACTGTTTGACTTGTATGTATTGATGCGTTAGTCGGCTAGGAGCTGGCACGATTTGGTCATAGTTGTGTTGGTGTATTCATCATACATGCGTGTGATTGCTATTTCTCTTTGTAAACAGAGCGATGGGTAATAATAGTGACGGTGCTGATGAAAGCAGTGACAGTGATGGTTCTTTCACATCTGTGAAGGAATCATTGTTGATTTCGTATAGCGACGTCACGAGTATGCTTGACGAAGTAAACAAACATCATAAGGCAATGCTTACTATGCTTGGATAAAAGAAGATTTCAGGTGTCAAGGCACAATTACAAGACACAATAAATTGCTTTAGCGCTGTTATAACTAAAATATGCCGCTGCATATCTGTGTAAGCTTGAGGTCGACCGGGTTCACGGTTCCTGCGTTAAGGCTTTAAATGACGCATGCACAAACATCGAAAAAGCGAGTATCAATGTCTGTCAAGCTATCTCAGAAAATAGTGCAGATGCCGGTTTACGTACGTTCTCGGCAATTGCGGGTTCTTTTCCTGCATAATCTAAGAGTTTGCAGCGTGGTGATCGCGGAAACTTCATGTCGAATCGCAGTAAGCTGTTTTGTACTCAGCGCTCGCGTCGTATCACAATC